TTTGATTCGTAATAACATCTAAACAAGTATAGCTTTTAAAGAGAAATAACTTGCATCAAATAGAGGAAGGACTAACTTAGACTTTGATATATTACAGTTGTATTTCACTTAAAAATTCACGGAGATATTAATCTTTAAATTCGGGAGGATATTTCTGGATGTGTCTGAAATATGCAAAAAATCGGCGTATCAAATATTAATCAAGATTTGCCCGACTGAAACATGCACTATTACCAGTAAATAAATGACACTTGACAAATTGCTTATTATGAAACAAAGTATTATTATATCTACAAAATACAAGCAAGATTCATTCGTCCGAAATTCGCGTGTGTTCCTAGCACGAATACGTTTCCTTATTTCATGAGACCACCGCATCGCGAAGGATCGTCATTGGATCGTTCGTAGTTCTGAATTAGGGCATGCTGTCACAACGGAATTGTGAAGCTCTTCTAACTTCTGCAACGTTCTGAAATCTTGTTAAGAACACCCAAACTCTTTTGCCGTTTCTTAATCTTGGCAAGTTCATGGAGTAAACTAAGAATTATATGAAACACAATCAAACCATACAACTCCATAAGACATAACAATTAAGCAACTCCCCAGAGACATGCAACATTTTTGGAACAAAACGTAACAAAATAGTAGCGTTGATACGGTGATGTGTATTTGCAAAAAGCAATATTATTTGCTTCAATAAAGAATATTCATCCTGCTCTAACCGAGAAATAATCTACTCAGTCTGTTTGAACCCATTAAAAACATAAAAAAATTAGGCTATTTAAGAATACGAAAAATTTAAGCGCCTGCCTTCCATGGTCAGTCTTTCATGTACATTTAAGTTTGCAAAGACCTAATATTAAATACTTGCATAATTTCGAACGTTCATATTTCAGGAAACAATAAGCTAAGACTTACATGTAAGATGTCTAAATTTAAACTTAAAATTAATATATATATATATATATATATATATATATATATATATATATATATATATATATATATATATATATATATATATATATATATAGATAGGTATACAGAAGGAAATGCGAACTCCAGACAGATCAATAATAATGTTTTATTACAAACGTTTCGCCAAAACAGGCTTCATCATCTCTTCATTCAATCTTCTCTCTCGCATTTCCACGACACTTCTTGCTTTTGCCTTTGCTTCATCAGATGACAGGCTTCATCAGATCAATAATAATGTTTTATTACAAACGTTTCGCCAAAACAGGCTTCATCATCTTCATTAAATTTTTACACTGATGAAGCCTGTTTTGGCGAAACGTTTGTAATAAAACATTATTGATCTGTCTGGAGTTCGCATTTCCTTCTGTATACCTATCTATAATATTTTAAGCGTCGTGTATCCTTTGGATCCTCCAGACAAGTGACTTCTACGTTGGCAAGCCAGACTGTATCCATACCATATATATATATATATATATATATATATATATATATATATATATATATATATATATATATATATATATATATATATATATATATATATATATATATATATATATATATATATATATATATATATATATATATATATATGTATATATATATATATATATACATATACACACACACATACATATATACACACATACATATATACACATGTATACATAGATCATTAATTTATAATTCATAAAAATGTAATCTAATTTAGTCGGTAAGCATGCAACGTGCCTCAAACGGTAGGAAAGAATCAATCGATTCAGAAGTCAGAAGTTAAGATAATATTGCTCAAAATTAAAACGTAGAGACACGGTGCACACCCATATACACATATATTCAAAATATATCAAGCATGCAATAACTATGTCTACGTACGAAGTAGATTTAATTGAGTCTTAAATTGAGATAGAGAACTAACGTTTGCATGTAACTGAGCTGTTCAAATTGTCGAAGTCCATCGAAGCGTAGTAAGTCGGTCTAAGTTTACCCCAGTTTGTGTTGGCTTTCGGAAGATGAAGGTTGTTGCAGGATCTTGTATTGTAGGAATTAATACAGTTGTTAGTTGTTAGTTTAAAGTCAAAATCGAACAGTCCATTAGTGCATTTGTAGATGAAGATACAGCGATGTTTATATCTGCAGGAGGAGAGAGGTAACCAATGAAGGGAAGCGAGGGATTCGGTCGCTGAAGAGAGAGGAGGAAGATCTAGAATCAATTTAGCGGCTTTATTTTCCAAAGTCTGTAAACTGTTTATGAGTCCAGTGTTGTTCTTGTCACCCTAAATAATGTCTGCGTGGTCAAATAACGGTAGAATTGTAGCGGTATAGAAAGCTAATCTTGCATTTAATGGTAGTAATGGTTTGACTCGGCGTAATATTCCAAGTCTTTGATTGATCTTGCTCATCAAGTTCTCGATATATTCATTCCAAGAGAGATTTTCACTGATCGTGATACCCAGGTATTCCAGTGCGTGATCTTGATTAATCTTTCGATCGTAGATAGTGATGTTGAGGTTAGAAATTGTTTTTAAACGTTGTCTACCAGCAAAGATTATAAATTTCGTCTTGTCATGATTGAGTGTCAGGAGGTTGTGTTTCAGGTAAGTGGAGAGGGATTGAAGGTCGGAGTTGAGTTTTGACTGAAGTTCTGAGATATTGTCTGCAGAATAGTATAGAAGTGTATCATCAGCATAGAGTATATCGACTTGCAGTGTTTGAGGCATTCAGGTAGGCCATTAATGTAAATTAGAGAGAGAAGAGGTCCGAGAATACTTCCCTGCGGAACACTGGTTTAGGCGTAGACATTGAATTCGATAGATGTGATGTAAACCATACAAGAGCAGAGGTAGAGAATCCAATCGATTTTAATTTTTCGTGCAAGATTGTGTGGTCTACCGTGTCGAGTGCTTTTCGTAGGTCAATAGAAACGGCGCCCGTAATCTTTTTGTTATCGAGGTTAACGAGCACTTGTTCAGTAAAGTGAGCAAGGGCAACAGTGGTGGAGAGTTTGGAGCGAAAACTGAATTGTTCAGAAGCCAATAACTTATGCTCTTGTAGATAGTTGTAAATTTGACGGTGGACTATACGTTCTAATAATTTTCTCAAAGTCGGTAGAATGGTGATTGGTCTATAGTTGTTCGGTGACGTTGGATCGCCAGATTTGTAAATGGAGGTAACCTTACCTTTCTTCCCGATGTCGGGGAATGAACCACAGCGTAGCGAGAGATTAAAGATCTTTGTGAGAGTTGGTGCAATAACGCAGACGGTGTCTTTAAGCAGTTTAACACTAATCCCATCTTGGCCAGTAGCCTTGTTGGTTTTTAGTTTGCTCAGTTCCTGAAACACAATTAATTCGTCGACTTCTTCGAACTGGAATGAATGGGGAAATGTAGTGGTAGACGCACGTAACTTTGGTTTGAATTGATCTTTTATTTTATTCGCAAGTTTAGACCCTATAGACGTGAAATAGTCATTTTAATGACTGTTAAATGGTTATTTTATGAATGTTAAAAAGATTTATTTACTATTTACAAGCCTGGTTCTGCAGTTCATAAGATTGGGAATCGCCACCTCTTTAAATAATTCCAAACAGGACTTTGTTGAATTGACATACTTTGCAACAAACAGCGAGTTACAATGAGCTGTCATACTTTGATACTTTGTTTTTAAACCTGTGCGGTTATACGTCACCAGTGGCAGTGTCATTAATATTATTATTCAAATAAGTGCACATTCCATCTTTATGAGTCATCACACACCTATTGTTTTCAAGCATTCAACTGTTGGTTGTGTGTTTTCTAGATTTTACCGGGAAATAATTTAGATATTTTCGGTATTCAATAAATCCAATATCGATATTTTAGAAATTTTGATATTTATCGACTATATTGATATACCGCAACAGGCCTACAACTGCAAATTGACCTACAACTGCAAACTGTAAAACTGCAAATTGGTGATAAAATATTTACTGCAAAGTTTGCACATTTTACATGTAAATTTTTTACATTGCAGATGGGATTTTATTAAAAATTTAAATGTCTTTCGTTTTGGTGCTTGCCACATATTTCTAGTTTCGCATGGCACTATTTTTTTGGCATTGTAATTTGTTTTTTTGAGTTGCTGATTTTGTAATCACAATTGTGTTGGATTTTGAAAATATTTGCATCTACCTTGCAAATTTCTAGGTTTGGAGTGCATTACTAAGGCAAATGCCAATGACAGCCATGATTCGAAATCTTGGCGAGATGACGTCCATTCATGGTCTGCTGGCTGGTAGTCCAGAAGAAAGGCTTATCTGTGACAGGTTACAAAATGTGCAATTGTTGAGACATGCTCGAATTCATCCGTTCAATGTTTTGGTTGCATTGAAGACGTACGCGGATGGTCACGGGGACAGAGGAAGATTAGTCTGGATACCAAATGAAGAAATTCTGGAAGCATTAAAGAATGCTTTTTATAACTCCTTTCAGGTTTGAACTATTTTAAAATTTTGATTAACAAATCAACTTCCCGCTACGCGGTCGGTTGATTTCGTAATCACTCGTATGATTATGGTATTAAAAGCACTCCAATTCGTTCTATTACCATCATTTTGTAAATATTTAATGCGAAAAATGTTCAATGACACGGATCGATGACGACACACGATTATATTACTCAAAACGACCAATTTCTATTAACCAGTCTTCCTTTTAACAAAAGACCGGTTTTGCTCGAATTATTTTGTGTTATAACTTATGTAATCTTATGCGTGTTGCACGTAAACAACATATCTTGTCTAAAACTTTGAGAAGGTACAGATAACGCCTTCTAAAATCCTCAGTTCTAGCGAATCTCTGTAAAATCACAAGGAAGTTAATGCTAAGTTTTTTGCCTATATCACTGGCCTGAAAAATAACTAATTTAACGCGTATCCTCATAATATGACAGCAAGGTGACACATTCTGAGAAGAAACTGATTATTCTCATGGTAACCATGCTTCAATTAAGTTTGGTTATAAACAGGGTATGCTGCATAATAGGAAGACCAATTGCGCTTTTTAGTTCAGTTATTTGACAATCACCATACAAAGTTTTAGATTCTACTTAAGGCATTGAAGGACGTATAGATTGCTTGATATTTTGACAAACACCGGGCAAAACTCCGCAAAACACAGCTTGCTGCAATGACCACTTGGCCAGATTTTTTAAACCAAGGGCTTACGACCTCTTCACTCTTGTGCCGTATCTGCCACTTTATGGGTTAAGTTCTCACTGAAAGATCAGCACTCAGAATAGGTTTAATATTTGTACAACGATTCTTTTACTAATTTGTAGCATGTCGAGTCAACAAAAAAGAGATACTTGTTGGCTCTTGACGTCAGTGTTTCAATGTCCTATGCTGCTGGTTCACATATCGCACCTAATGACGCATCAGCTGCTATGTCTATGGTTGTTGCAAGGACGGAGACCGAATATCACATTGTTGCTTTCTCAAATGAAATTATCTCGCTGCGGGAGCTGGTGATCGATGAGAATACGACTTTGGACGAAGTGCTTCAATTGATGCAACAAGTAAATTAAAGTCACTAATATGACATGTAACAAATATATAACATTTTCCATGTTGATATTTAACAATTATTCGCCGAAGGCGAGGTGATTATCGGGGAATATTCGCCGAGACGAAGTCAAAGTGAATATTCCCCGATAATCACCGAGCCTGAGGCGAATCATTGTTTTAGTATTTTTGTGTTTTTTGGGACTGAATTTATTTTAATTTCGCTTAATTCTTTATCAGTATAACGTCCACAAAACGGCTAGCCGCCATTTTGAAAATTTCGGTCAGTTTTGTTATATTCACCTGTAGGTGAATTTGACCAATCAACTTGTAGGATTTGTTATGTTCACTTGTGCAAAAATATACTAAACAGTTTTATAATATAGCATTTGTAAATTCTGAACGCTAATTGGCTAAGAGCCGTGTTGATATAACTCCATGTCAACACGGGAAATTTTCCGGCGCTTGCAAACACGGAAATTTTTCTTATCCTTCGGGCTTTTGACATTGCTATATTATAAAAAAATATAAAACATTTTTTCCGTATTGATATATAGTTATATCAACACTCGTGGAAGTTGGGAAAACTCGAAATTGTATGAAAACACTCCGCCCTTCGGGCGTCGTGTTTCCATAAAATTTCTTGTTTTCCCAATTCCACTCGTGTTGATATAACTGTATATCAACACGGAAAATGTTTTATATTTGTTAAATATCCACACGAATGGGAATTGGGAAAACGAGAAATCGTGTGGAAACACAACGCCCGGAGTGTTTTCACACAATTTCGAGTTTTCCCAATTTCCACGAGTGTTGATATAACTGTATATCAATACGGAAAAAATGTTTTATATTTGTTTTATAATATAGCACACAGAAATATAAAGAAAGAAATTTTCCGACGTTTCCGTGTTGGCATTGAGTTATATCAACACGGCTCTTAGCCAATCAGCGTTCAGAATTTACAAATGCTATATTATAATCTTGTAGGCCTATATAAGATGAGAAAAACTTTCTGCAAGGTGTAAAAAAAACTTCCTGTGAAATGTTGAATTTTTTTTCTTATCAAAAGTTTCCTGCCGCCAAACATGAAAATGTCTGTACTGCAGTTAGGCTTGTCTTTAAAGCCCTGGTCAAATGAGCATGAGAGTTGAGAAGCGAGGGTTTGCATGAAAGTTTTCTCAATTCTCATGTCCTGGTCAAACGAGAACAAGAGTTACACGAGAATTGATGGGAGTTGAGAAGCGAGCGTTTGCATGAGAGTTTTCTCAACTCTCATGTCCCGGTCAAACGAGAACAAGAGTTACATGAAAAGTCTCATCAAAATTTGAAAACTCTCAGCGAAAACTCTCATCAAAATTTGAAAACTCTCAGCGAAAACTCTCATCAAAATTTGAATGTTGATGAGAGTTGCAACTTTCATCAACTCTCATTCTCATTTTGACAGAGGCAAAAGTGTTAAGCACGACTGTCATCATATGAAATTAACAAATTTCTATTCATAGATTCCAAGGAGAGCCGCAGACTGTGCCCTTCCAATGAAATACGCCATCGAAAACGACTTGGATGTGGATGTATTTGTCGTCTACACTGACTGCGAAACCAGAAAAGTTGGCATCCAGCCTTCCGAGGCGCTACGACAGTACCGTGAGCATTCAGGTATCAGGGACGCAAAGCTGATTGTGGTTGCTATGACGTCAAATGGTTTTACTATCGCAGACCCCGATGACCCTGGGATGCTTGATATGGCTGGCTTTGATTCTGCCGCTCCAGAAGTCATGAGGGAATTTATACTGGGAAATATTTAGCGCTGACGACAAACCGTAAGTACACGTTGTGTTGCGTGTATTCGTTTAAACATTCTCATATCATTACTAAATCTTGCACAAATTAGCAGCGTATCATTGCATTGTTACACACAAAATATGTTACTATAATGTAGGCGTAGAATGGAGCTAAGGCTACCAAGCATTTCGACACAGAATAGGAGCCATACAGAAAGTCGAGTTTTGGTTTTGTTTATGATTTTGACGTAATTGTTGCAATGCTGTCGCCAGGGTGGACATTCAGTGGGGTGAATACCTCTCATAACCGCACTGGCTATAGGACCACATTTATGATTTTGACGTAATTGTTGCAATGCTGTCGCCAGGGTGGACGTTCAGTTGGGTGAATACCTCTCATAACCGCACTGGCTATAGGACCACATTGATGATTTTGACGTAACTGTTGCAATGCTGTCGCCAGGGTGGACGTTCAGAGGGTGGTGAATACCTCTCATAACCGCACTGGCTAGGACCACATTTATGATCTTGACGTAACTGTTGCAATTTTGTCGCCAGGGTGGACGTTCAGTGGGGTGAATACCTCTCATAACCGCACTGGCTAGGACCACATCTGATGCTCGATATATGCGAGTGCAAAAGGAACAGGAAATTTGTGACCAGTCACAAGGGTCACACGGTCACAATCACTATATGCGAAAATTTGCCCGGGGACCACGCTGCGATATTAATTACGATAGGAATCTATGTGAACACCAAGGTGAATTTTGGCAAATTTTATACACTTCAAGAACTTTTCCTAAGTTTATCGCTCCATCGCTCCTCCATGTGTGGCCATGTATTACTATGTGTGACTACTACCGTATGTGTGACTATATGTGACCCAGTGTTACTGTTTTGATCATTCGGACCTCGTAAAACATTTGGGGCCCTTCATCAGCAGTGTAACCAACTGTATTTTGCGTTTATCGGAATAAACGCAACATACGGAATATACTTATAACAAGTAGGTGAAAAAAGTGTGCTCGAATTGAGCGACATTACAGCAAATGAAAATGGACGCCCCCCTGTAAGTAAAACTGGAGCCAATGACAGCTCGATAACGAGCAAAATGGCGCGAAATGACGTAACTATTTGGTGAACCGGGAGAGGGGATAGAACACTCCCCGTCTGGTATATGAAGATACCACTATAACTGTTCGTAATAACTGTTCGAATACTATGAATATATAGACTATAACAATAACTAATATGAACTGTTTGAAGTTTGTTCTTTTATGAAGTTCTTTAAGGCTTCGGATTAAGTTCGTCTCGTTAACTGGTCTAGTCTAACTGCGTTTTATACCGTCCTTCGCAATCATCAGCTCAACCTTTCTTACTTTCCTATCAGCGCTTTCGTGGGCCTTAGTTACACGGGCGAGGGGCAACATGTTTCTCGCCACTTCCTTGCTCCGGAGCAGAACCAGATCTCCTTCTTGTAAATTGGGTTGCTCTCATTGCCATTTTCGTCCTGGCTGTAACCTGGGTAAGAATTCTTTCCGCCAACGAGACCAGAAAACGTTGGATCCATTCGCAACCTTCGCGAACTAGGTAGGCTTCGATATCTTTTTTATCCATCTCGTTCATCGCTGCTTCCAACTCATTCCGCGCCCCAACGAAGTACCGCAGTCTCAACGAAGCTGAGCTACTGGATCTCTTAGTGCTAAAAATCTGCGTAGGGCGTTGATGAAGCTAAAGGTGTCCAAAGACTCGATTAACTCAATGTGGATTGTCCTTACAAAAAGCTCTGTTGCCTATGAATTTACTTGCCCTGGATGTAATAGTAGCATTTGTAGGTACATCGGCAAAACTGACCGCTGCTTATACACCAGAACTAAGGAACATTCATATCACACATAATCTGTAATCCATCAACACCTTTCTACTTGCGATCAGTTTCAACATATTAAAGCCCTTTTAGAACTATATCCCGACGCATCATCGTCATGATCATGACGCAAAGTCTAATCAAACCAGTATAATGGCTGAACATGTTTTCCACAATACTATAAAGTAATTGATAAATATAACCATTGGTTCCTTTTGCTGTATCAAGAATCCCTCGCTATTCAAAGATATAAACCTGAACTTAATCATGGAATTAAGGTTTCTAAAGAACTAATCATATTTAATTAATTCATTAGGAGAAACTGGGGGGACGAGGGTTAAGAGTTATTTACATCTTCTAATAAATCATGCCTCGCAGCTAAGGTGACAAACTCAATTTAGACCAAGTTGTCCGCGTGAGTTTTGTCTATGATTGTAGCTAGTTTATCCTGATGATGACTGAAATATAGTCGAAACGTTGATAAATATAAGAATGTTATCGATCTTTGGAGTTACACTTGTTTTGTAAATCTGGTTTACGATCGAGCGTTTTTCTTGTGGAGTTTAGGCGTTTGAAGGCTTTCTCACGACTGTTTGGTAGGTGTGTCACTTCATTGGGGAATGAGAGAGGAGCTATCCAGCTTCCTGTTTCGTTTTTTTTTCATGCCTGTATCCATCATTTTGATAAACGTTCGATCTTGGACAGAGTACCGTGGTCTGTTGTCAAGTTCTGTACGTTCAAACACCTTTCTGGCAAGTCCATCCTCGAACTTTCCTTGTTTCCTTCTCTTTCCTACGGAATTCTTTTATGCTTTCATGAGAATCTGCATGTGCTGATGTCGCTTTGTCGACGTGGAATACATTTGAGCAAGGCTCGATGATGGAAGGTCGCCCGTTGTGGAGTAAGTGGGTCTTAAGGAGGAGAGATCATTGGTTTGTGTACACCGTCTAGATACGTATTGCCCAATATGACCTATCCGAGGTCTAATCGTTGTGCCCATGGAGAGTCCCCCTTCCGTTTCTAGACTCTCGAACTTTGTGAAGTGGTGGTACATCTCTTCCAATGAGCAGAAGGATGTCAGTGTCATGTTGGGCTGAAGGTATCTGATCCGCAATTGGGCGGAGATGCGAATGAGCCATTGCTATGTCAGGGATCTAGTCTTTGTTCAATTCAATTTATTAAAAATATAAAAATTCGCACCATATAAGGCGAATTACATTATATATTACACAGTATAAAATAATATATTACATTCAATAGTATCTAGTTAAAAATTTAAAAAATCTTAGTTATTGCTGATTATGAACCTCCGTCATTGTTGGAAAATCTGTTCTACATTTATATAAAGACAAATTATTTCCACTACGCACCGATCGTCCGTGTGATTCATACCTCGTACGAGATATTAGGTTGGGAAAGTTTCGAACTTGGCTGGGTTTTAAGTTTATTAAAAAGTTTTAAACACAAGCGTTGACGGTTGTCTTCAAGTCTCGGGCGTCCAGTAAGAGCTAAGGCTTCACGGTAAGATAGATGTGGGAATATAATGCGGAAAAATCGCTTCTGTGTGCGTTCAATCTTCTCGAAAAAGGAAATAAGGGAGGCGTTTATGCCACACAGCGCAGCCGTAATCCAATATGGAGCGGATAACAGATGTATATACTTATTAGGTCCTCCTCAGGTACTCCATTACGCTTCAGAGTACGAATAATATACAAACGTCTTGCGGCTTTCTTGGTAACAATATCAACGTGTTCGTTCCATTTTAAGTCGTCTTGGTGATGAGCTGTGGTAAATCAGGCAAATGACGTTGGAAATTAACTCTCAATTCTTTACACCTTTTTAGATTAAGTTTCATATAATTTTAGTCAGACCAGTTTGAAATATGGTTTAGTTCGTATTGCATGTTAGATTCGCTATGTTTTGGAATGACGTCGGAGATGGTAAGATCGTCTACATACTTCCAATGTTCTGATTCTAATGTGTTGTCGTTGACCATTACCAAAAACAAGATTGGACTTCTCCAAGTTTGACTCTCTGTCTGCGATCAGACAAAAAGTCACATTAATCATGGAATAATAGATCTACGAAGCCCCATGTAGATCAGCTTAGTAATCAGTACGTTCAAGTTAATTCTGTCAAATGCCTTACTAAAATCTAGTAAGACAATCCGTAGTGTAACCTCCGCTCCAAAAATCTGGAATGAATTACCTATGTATATTAGAAATCTGCATAACTTTAGTATTTTCAAGAAATTAGTTAAGACTTATTATTTTGAAGAAGCCTTTAATGTAAATA